AGGCCAAATTTAATCTTAAGAGGTCCAGACAGCTAAAACTATGTCTAATAAGTTTACTGGGAAGAAGTTCAGCTGTACATTAAATATAATAAACCACCTATTTATAAAACTGATTGTGAACAGCATGAAGCTTCTTAAGAAAAATGTGCACAGCTTCAAAAATGCATCACAGTTGTTCCACACGTTAAAGCTAGAACGCTGCTGTAGTAAAAGAGCCACTCTTTTGGCTTAATTGTAGAAAAAGTGCAGGCAGCTCTTATCCAGACTTTGTCCTATAATTACAAAATATAAAATTTATTTTATTTTGCAAAATAACTTGTGTTGTGAATCTACAGCAAACCGTAATAAAATTCAATAGTATATAGTGAAAAAACTGGATGTTTTTTGTTATATAACAGAATAGGGTTTTTTCTTCAATAAGAACTGCAAATCTGAGGAAAATACAGCTAAAAGTCCAAAATTTATGCTCTCTCTCTTTTTTTTCTTTCTTTCTTTGGAAATTTTCACATTTTCACAAAGCTTGGGCTCTTTTTGGCTCCCAGGATATCAGACATTATTCAGTAAAGCCCAGCAACATTTGTATCATATATAATTTATTTAATTGACATGTTTCATCTTCATGAAGATCATCGTGAGAGTATAAGACAAACTGTGCTGGAGCTGTAACCTGCAGACTTTATGCTCTTCTTTATGTGGAAGTAGATGCAAACCTGTACTCTGTCTCTTCAGTCATGCCGGTCTAAAAGCTAGACAGCATCTGCTTACGAAGCTTTTGGCGCCCATGAGGAGGAGCAGCACACACAGGAGACTGCACCGACTATAACCCACAAAAACCCTCTAAACTGTCGACTCAATGAAATCCTCTTGGGAACTTTGAGCATAATACAACACAAACTCTCGTACAGGATACAAAGGCGGAGCGATACATGTTTTGAAATGACAAGTAGCGGATGCATCTAGTACACGCAGAGCCTCCACAAAAACATACAAGCAAAGCACAGCGGCCAGTGCAACACTAATTTTGGCGCAGTGCATGCGTGTCCGATGTGAAAGGGCCTTTACTCTGTAAAGAGTAAAGGTCTTAATGATGATGTAATAACATAAGAGTAGACCCCACATACCAACACAAATCCCTAATGAGGACACACATCTCTAAGATCTTTCTCTTAGTAGAAGAGAAAAGATCTGCGAACTGGAATCAGCTGATCATGGCAAGAGTGCAAGAACCAATATGTGGGAACGATAGAAAGGCAGACTTGGACTACTGGGAACCAGTTTTCTACAAGAACCGGTTCTCAATTCCAATCCCTAATGATTCAGCAAGGCAGAGGAAGGAAACACTTCTTAAAGAGGTTGTGTGATGAAACATTTCAAAAACAGGAGGCATCAGGGAGAGAGCGCTCAGGCTTTTTTTATTATTCCTGTAAGGACTTTTCTGAAGATCGATCTTTTCCGTCTGGCGACAGCATTTCACTCACTTCAATGAGGAATAATGCAGTGTGTATAGCTGTGGAAATGGGTTATTATAATTAGAATAGTTTCTCATAAACTCTCAAAACATGTACATCACTTTTCAAAGCTTTCAGAGGAGTGTTTTGCTTTGACTTGAAATTATTACTCTAACAGGACAACTCAGTGTAAAATCCCCCCTAACGATACATTCATGTAAAAATAAAATGACAGACACAAAACTCTTTGGAAACACTTAAAAAGAAGGCATACAGTGTGAGAAAATGAAGACATGTACTTATCGTCACTGGCCGACAGAGGACTGTAATGCTCATTCATTTAAAAAACAAAAGAAAAAGAATAATCAGTGCTGTGATCATAGCAGGAATGTATATCTGGTTAACAGACAACCAGAGTAAAACATTTAATCAAACCGTAAGTTTCCTACATCTACAGCAGCATCCTAGTTACACAGAAGAGACAGAGAGGGAAAAAAATGGAAAATTTTCAAAATGATATATAGATATCTACATGTACACCAAACTATCCAGGTTCTTTAGATGAGTATTTTAAGGTACATTTAATTGCTAAGAACCCTCTAACCGTCTATATGTTCCTTCTCCGTGTTTAAAATGGCTTTAATTACACTCATATACACTCACCAGCCACTTTATTGGGTACACCTTCCTAGTTTTAATTCTTCATGGCATAGATTCAACAAAGTGCTGGAAACAGTACTCAGAGATTTTGATTCATATTAACATGACAGCATCACACAGTTGCTGCAGATTTGTCGTCTGCAAATCCATGATGAGAATCTCCCGTTCCACCACATCCCAAAGGAGCTCTGTTGGACTGAAATCTGGAGACTATGGAGGCCATTTGAGTGCAGTGAACTCATTGTAATGTTTAAGAAACCAGTTTGAGATGATCTGATCTTTGTGACATGGTGTGTTATCCTGTTGGAAGCAGCCATCAGAAGATGGTACATAAAGGGATGGTCGTGGTCAGTAACAGTATTCAGGTGGGCCGTGGTGTTCCATCCCCCCTACTATGCTCTATTCATATTGAAGGGCCTATAGTTTGCCAAGAAAATATCCCCCACACCATTACACAACGACCAGTCTGAACCGTTAAAACAAGGCAGGGTGGATCCATGCTTTCATGTCATTTATGGCAAATTGGGACCCTACCATACGGATCTCACAAAAGATATAAAGACTCATCAGACCAGGTAGCAGTTTTCGAATTTTCTATCATCTAACTTTGCCTGTGTGAATTGTAACCTCATCTTACTCTTAGTCTACAAAAATGGCAGCCAGTGTGGTCTTCTGCTGCTGTACTCCACGCTGATCATTTAGAGATGGTCTTCTGCATACTTTGGTTGTACCGGGTGGTTTACTGTTGAATTCCTGTGAGCTCGAGGCAGTCTGTCCATTTTCCTCTGAGCTCTGACTTCAACAAGGCATTTTCACTCAAGCTCACTGGATATTTTCTCTTTTTCTCATCAATCTCTATAAACTCAGTAGAGCAACAGAAATAATCAGATGGTCTACATGGCACCAACAACGATGCCATGTTCAAAGTCAAATGAACTTTCTCTCCCATTCTGATAGTGCACACTGAAGGCAGTCTAACATGTAACCCCAACCCTATGTTGGGATCAGATATCTTTATTTTATTAACACACTCAGTTTATACTTTAGCAGGTTGTCTTGACCATGTCTACACACCTAAAATGCATTGCATTTTTGCAACACAATTGGCTGGTTAAATATTTTCATTAACGGGTATCTGAACAAGTGTACCTAACAAAGTGACTGGTGTGGGTATGTAGGTCAGGGTAAGCAGAGTATTATATTTAGTCCAGTGCTGATTTCTGCAGAACATGTCATATAAATGGCAAGAAAGTTGCCTGCTGATTTTCTCTACTCACTGTTTTGTTTGTTGTCTGGTATTTAAAAAAAAACTGTAATAGTGTAAAATAATAATATTAATTTAAGAGTAAAATTACTTTAAAAGCAATCGGGTTTTTTGCAGAATATGTTCAGTCAAAGGAGCGATGAGGCTAGCAGCTGTTAGCTTAGCTTAGCAGTCAAAATAGGGTGAAAGCTAGTCTCTGTGCAAAACGTTAACATCTTATTTCTCGCTTAAGTTGTACAAAAATGTGCATAAATAAAAATTTGTTATTGTAGTTAGGTCTGTCTACCAGTATTTCTATTCATGGCAAAGTAGCTGTACCTCTGGTCTTAATGATGATGTAATTATTTATTATTTAAGCCTTTTATAGAAATTTACTAAAGGTATCCCTTAAAAATAAATATAACATAAGGCAGACAGCTGTGATTTAATCATTCAAGTAACCCACAAATACTGAATTTTGCATCAAGATTAAAATTATAGTAAAATTGGGCTAAATGTGGCTAAAATTTCACGTTCTTAAACCTCTAGGTCACACATAAACATATTTTAACAACATTTTAATGATTATATATCCACATTCAAATTCAGACTGTTTGAAATATAGTCATTTGAGATCTCAAATGTTCACCTTTGTTTTAAATCTACCCTCATGGCCATCTTATAAATAGTATAACTCAAGTAATCATGGCAGTGACATCCACTTGAAGCTTTGTGTTAAATTAAAAACAAAAGTTAGATATGATACACTTACCCACACACATTTAAAAAAATTGTATACTACTTGCTCAGAAAAAAAAAATTAGTATCCCCTGTATTAGAAGCTTCAGTTCTGTCTGTCTCGTCTTGCATTGTGGGTAATGTGGTTCTTTTGTGGAGTCCATTTCCCTTCAATGCATCTCTTTCCAATGTATCTGTTTCTTTTGCCTAGGTCGCTTGTTTTCCTTCTTCAAATGCCCCAAATGGTACCACATTTAAGACGAACTTGGTTACTAAGGTGCTGTTTGGCTCCATTTCGCTCCTGTTAATCCACCTTAAAAAGTGTCTCATTGAAAGGTAAACCAGCACAAAATTTTTACAAGAGTCCACCTGGGTTACACAGCTGTACACGTTGACTTTTCTTGCTTGAGGAGTCCATTAGAAACTGGATGTGCAGTATGGTGTTTAGCAAAATGATAGTGGATGTAACCATGTAGTCAATGTCACTGAGCTTACAGGAGGCCTAAACTGCTTCAAAGTCAAATAAAATGGCAACAAAATCACATTTTATATATTTAGGACCTCCAGGACGTCTCCATTGAGCTTTGATGGTTGAAAGTGGAGATA